CAGCTAGAATTAGAACTGACAAGAGGATCAACATCATCATCATCATCATCATCATCATCATCACTTTACCTTGATTTAATTTTAGCCGCAGTGAGGAGACATCAAAACAGATTGCCGAAGTCACGGAACTAAACACGTCACTACCTTTTTGGGGGAGGGGTCACTTTACGAGCCCGACTGTACCTCAGACTGCAATGTATCGAATTCTACGATGACTGATGAATCATGAATTTGAAAGGTTTTAGAAGTATGCAATCGTGACCGAACTGAGGTACTATCTCTGCTTTTGTCTAGAGGGACTGAACACGTCCACAAAAAAAATCATTTAGGAACCAGTGGTGTCTTAAACGAGATACTACCCTGTAAATTACCTGGAGGGACTGAGGAAACCCACTAAAATCCTCAGTGTAGCCGGCGTCCGAAACCAGCACCTCCCGTATATAAGTTTAGAGCGTTACCTGTGCACCGACCAGACAACTGTGCGTGCGTGCTGGCTGATGACTATGTTTTCCTTTATCTTTCGCGTTTATCCTATATAAGTTAGTATACCATGGCCCTTAAGAGGGCCGTCTCATTCGCTTCCTTTCCTACAACATGTAGAGCTGGAATAGCTCAGTCAGTGTAGTAACTACATAATAGGTTGGATACCGGTGGAACCAGGGTTCGATTTTTAAAAGGACACGACACATTTTACTATTCTCACAGGGTACAGACCGTCTCTGAGGCCCAAACTTCCCACTGGCACGGGGGATATTTCACCTGGGGGTAATGTGGTCGGAGCATAAATCTGACCGCTCATCCCCACTTAAAGCCAAAGTTAAGAATTAATGGAGCTCTATCTCCATTTCCCCATGTTTTCATTGGGTGATTATCTTTTTTTAGTTTATTTAGCTACGAGTCGGGTAAATTGCTGATGGGTCTCGCCAGCACAGTTATTCTTGGTTCCGAGTTCCGCGAGATCCGTGACCATATTTTATTGTCTTTGCGAGTCTAGGAGACGGTGTAAATATCTCACATTATATAACAGAGCAGTAAATTTCTGCCGACACTCGCCAGCACAGTCAATCTTGGTTTAGGACCCCGTAGGGTCCCATATTCTTTTCTTTCCAAGACAGTTTACCAGTTTTGAAACTGGGCCTTCTCTTTCAAGGGAGAAGGGGTTGGACTTTTTGTTAACTATTCGAAATAGGGCAGTAATTTGTTGTTAGCTTTCGCCAGAGTCGAATGGTAGGGTGATTTATGAGTAATGGATCTGAAATTATTTTGGAAAATCAATCATGGCCTATTTGATATATTGTGCCAGAATTTAGAGCGACTAAGGAAGGCAACGAAAAAACTATGCCAAGTTAGCTGGCCGAAATTCGAACTCAGTATCTCGCAAACACAGGTGTAAAGCGTTGTTGATACATGGTTCTCCTCGGATGTATGGCTTGAGGCTTAACTAAACACAAGAACAACTTTGCCCCGCGTAGTTTCTGCAGCCTGTAGAACACCGTTCAGTAACTTCTGAAATGAGCTGTCGGATTACGACAGTTTACCCTAGCGATGCCATTGGATCTTAGTGTCAAATGTGAGGCGATGTTTAAACAGAGGATGGCTTCTCTTGTTTCAGTAGCCGCGTCTGCAAGAGCATGTTCCTTCTGCAAACTAATCTGTCAATAACTTTCCTCTATACTAAGTAAACACAACACTTCAAGGTACATCGCAAATATTTTGATGCATTTGTGCAGTTCTGTCCAAAATGAACGTTAGTGAATTTAAGACTATAAAAAATGGCGGGCTCTATTCGTATCCCTAAACTGCAGGCATACAGAATTGTCGTTCCATCTCTGGCATAGTCTGAATGGTGCCATAGATTTCTCAAGAAATATTTAAAATAAATTAAGTTTCGTTCAAAGGTCGTGTATTTATTTCATCTTGCCACCTGCTTTTGCTGCTTCCTTGCCTCGCTTATTCATTCATTCTGAAGATGTAGGCAATATATTCATCTGAAACGTCTGCCTTCTTCGAACTACACATTGCTACCACCCAGAGGAGCGTATACTTCATACACGTCGACACGAGAACTTCAAAACTAATTTACAACACAGTTCCTTCCAGGTACAGTTTTGACAAAGTCTGTAGGTCAGGAAGATTTATTATAGATCCTTTCGGAGAGTGTAACTGCAACGTCGAAATATTTCGCGAAATTTTTCCTGTGACAGCACAGAACATTATACATTATACATATAGCTTGCTGTAGATGCAGAGAGGCTGTAAAGCTATTTAGGTTCCTGCCGTCACCGTACAGTCTGATAGGGACCTGCAACAGTGTGCAGAACTGCACTTTTCGTGACAGTACAGGAACATTTTGTAGCTTGCTGTAGGTGCAGAGAGGCTGTAAAGCTATGTAGGTTCCTGCTGCGACCGTACAGCCTGACAGGGACCTGCAGCAGTGTGCAGAACTGCACTTTTCCTTGATCGGCTCAGATTGGGAGGGGGATTAATTTATTATTACTGTAGGGGGTCGCAGCATCACAAAGTTTCTGTACCCCTGACCTATAGAATCGTTAAGAAAATTAAGCAAACATGTCTGGCAGGAAAGAGGCAAACTGTGATATGACATCTGGCCCGTACATATATTTATATCCAATTCTGGTTACTCCTCCCCAAATTTATTTTTGAAATAATAGAGCCTAATTATAAATCTATTGGCCTGTCCACCAGTTAATAGTTATTAACGATTTTCCATCACAAAATTCAGCCTGTTTTGGTTCTGTAAGATAAGCATAGATGATAAGACATCGTGGCTATCCATTCTCTTACAAAGCAAATAATGTTCCTTTAACTTTTCCAGCTCTTGGCGGCAATGAACTGCGTGACGTCAGCAGAAACAACTGAATGGCGTGTGCGAGAGGAGCCTTGTGAAGATAAATAGAAGTAGAGATGTTCATTTCCGCACTGAGACCAAGAAAAGTGAAGCTATCTCTTGGGATTGATCGTAACAAGAAGAAGTCTCTTTCCTGTAACCGATAATCAGCACGCAGCTCAGTAATTTCTTTATTAATCCACCTTCACAGGCATTTAGATTTGTTAACCATGTTCCGTGCCCCTTATATCGTAGTCTGTAAGCCACTTCAACTTGGGTCATCTGTTATTCATCCTGTGTCCCTCGCCTGACTCCGATTTCTGTGGTTTTCCCCAGTCCCACCAGGCGAATACTGGGATAGTACACCAAATCAGGCCGTGACGCTGCTTCCAAATTCTTTCAAGTTCATTATGTACAAATCATCCTGCTATTTAAAGCTAAACAATCTGTGTTGCTGACATTATCGTCAAATAAACTGCAAATATAATAAATTGAAGGTTTGTATTTTGAATAAATTCTTCTACACTGATGATGGAGGCAGAGGGTTCCTCAGAAACGATGGCAGGGTCAGTGTACTCCACGAGCGAGGATACGTCATAACTTGTATAGGCAATCTTACGGAAGAAAATTCCTATATAAGAATATTTGAATTTCCCAGCGGCGTATGTTTAACGGAAGTAGGTTTAAAATAGAATTTTGTATTTATCTATTGATGACATAACGTTCTACGTCACTGACGACGATGCATCCTCTTTCCTATAACAGATGGCGTATATATATATATATATATCTACCAGACTACACGGCGTCACATCCCAGGAGAACGTAATCACTAAAGTGAACACATACACTCACTTGAGGGGCTATAGTTGCTATCATTTCTGGAGTTTTAGTCTGATTGTTACGATAATGTGTTTGAAAGTCATTTCAACTTTTGTTTTGATAACAGCGAAGGCAAACATCCGCCCGGACAGGACATTGCCCCATGCGGAAGGAGAAGCCCTCACTTCTCTCACGCTCAGTGTGAGTGGATCCTGTTTCTCTTCGCCTTCTCTCCGTAACCTGGCACTTTATTTCATCCCTTATATTATCTTTCTCTTTATTTTGCACATTGCTTTTGTCTCTTTATATCGACTGCTGAAATAGCAATAGAATAAAACGAGGAAACGGAACGATTGTGGACTTACGTAGGAGTTCTCATATTAAAGAGTTCAAAAGGCCAGAGACCCGGTAAGAACAAACTTACGTGAATAATGTTGTTACCTCTTGTGGAAGAGAGTCTATGTTGATTCCTTGGGCTCTTCAAGCACAGGGGTTGGAGGCTCCGCACCAGTAACCGCATTAAACATAACACAAGACAAAATCTACAGGAACGTAAATTCGTAATCGAAGAAAGAGGTAAAGGGAAAGGAATTAGATATAGGGGAACAGAGAAGGAAATACATAAACAAGGAAATAAAACCAGGAACTAAAGAGGAAAAGCAAATGTCAGCCGCATTTTATAAATAGGATTATATACGTATATATACGTGTATAAAGGTAAAGCTGTCCCTGTAACAAGCCGTGGAGGCCCATAGGGTTGTGAGAAGTCGAGCCTCCCACATTTTCTCTTAGACAATCGGCTCATAGATGGAGGTGAGGTTGTCAGCCTTACACTCCGGCCGCCCTTTACCCCAGGAAGATTCCTGGTACTCATTTCTGTTAGAGGCTGAGTCGACCCCAGGGCCATAGCGCGGCTGGAAGGATTAGGTCAAGGTAAAGTTGGCTGCCGGTCACGGTAGCCGAGCGGTCTAAGGCATGTACTGTCTTCGCTCGCTTGGAAACCGGGATCGTGGGTTCGAACCCCACTCAGGGCATGGATGTTTAGTTTGTGTGTGTGCGTTTTTCTGTGTTTGTCTACAGGTAGAGGCCTTGCGACGAGCTGATCACCCGCCCAAGGAGTCCTACCAAATGTGTAAGATCTAGAAAAACCGAAGTGAACGGAGAAGTTCATGGAGGTAGGCCTAGGCCCACTGGGGCTGTAGTGCCAAGGGGAAAAAAGTTTTCTCTATGCTTAACTAATTAAGCACTACGTCATGAAGGCGTATGGTGGAGTGAATGTACAGATCCAGATTTTCTTGACCTCGGCACTAACTGGAGGTGAGCTGCCAGCTTCACGCCCCTGCCGCTTTACTCACGGGGAAAGTGTCCAAGGTAAACATTGGACAGGAGGCTGGGTTGGACCCAGAGCCGGTCTAAAGGACATGGAGAGGAGAATATTCTTGACCCTCCCGGAACTCGAACTTCGATCCCCCGGTCGTCCAACCTGTGGCCAGTCGCTATACCGACTGCTCTAACCCGACTCCTGGAAGGATTGTATCAACTGAAAAATCTAGTAATGCCATGAGGAATCGAGCCCGCGACCTTCCGGATATATTATATTTTATTATTTATTTGTATTTCTTTTGGCGACACTGTAAGTAACTCAGACCACATGACGTTCAATGCTTCGCTGTTGCTTGGCAACGGAATGGGAAGGATGTGGAAGGAAACGGTCATGATTCATTCGTAACCTACTGGAGAGAATTCTGAGTGTCGCATACCGAACAGCGCTCAGTGCTACGAATCTGGCATTCAGGAGGTCTCCTATTCGAATACCAGTCTTTAGGTTCGGCCACACAGAGCGCTACGTACGCTATGTTCCGTATGTTAGCTGGGTCGCAGAGTGTACACAGCGTACGTAGCGTACGTAGCGAACATAGCGTAGCGCTCTGTGTGGCCGAACCTTTACATATCTTAACTACTTCGTAACTGATATTCAGGCTCTGAATAACTGCACGACCTGAGTCCTCAGGGTCCACAGCACTTGGCTCTGTGGTCCTCTAATAATTTTCGCTTCCTTCAAGCAGAAGCACGATCTTCTCTCTTACTTGTCATTTTACCCTACAGACCCACTTTCTTCTCTTTACCCTTTAGCTTCTCGTAATCCACTACCTACATCTTCCAGACATCTCTGTTTGGTTCTTCCAACTTCTCCTCTACTTTCTGGTTTTCTTTTAAAAAAATTATCCACCATTATTTGATTAATTCTAAATAAATCTGACATTTTTAAGGAATTCATCCAGTTGTGTTATACTGTACTATAAAATTACCTTTAAAATAATACCAATTTTATCAATAAACTCATTATTTCACGGTGAAATGTGAGTGAGTTTAAAAGGTAATTTCATACCTGATATGTTATTAAGTATGTTAAATTACATTTATTACTGGAGAGAGGATAGCTCAATCGATACAGCGATTGGTTATGGCCTGGACGTCCGAAGGGTCGTAGTTTGAGTCCCGGTAGAGGCGAGATTTTTCTCTTCTCCACGTCGTCCAGACCAGTTCTCTGTTCCACCCGGTCTTCTAGCCAATTGGTATCGAGGGCTTTCTTCCGTGGGTTAAGCGGCTAGGGCATGAGCTAATTACCAATTGCCAACTAGTGTCAAGGTCAAGAATGTATGGATCTATAGATCCCGTCCTCCATACGCCTTCACGGCGTAGTGCTTAATTAGTTAAGCAGAGAGACTCTTTTGCCTATATAGATATGCTGTGCCTAAAATATATTTGAGGTTACGTCATCATCAGATAGTAATATACATTTAAGTCATCGTTTCAGAATCAGTAGATTCTATTCCCAACATACAATTGCCATGCCAGGGATCTCGTTGAACACACAGGGACTTTTCTTCCGTGAGGTTGCCTACTCAATATATGACGTAGCTTCAGACATGTTTCAGAAAATGTCTACCAGCTCTAATGAGGCGAGAGAAGTGTTTAAAAAAAAAGTCCTAATTTGTAGCAAAGTTAACCTTGGCGATTTTAATCCAAACGCGAAGCGATTGTGCAGAATAAACGTGGGTGAGGGATAAATGTGTGAATTTTAACTGTGAAGTTTCAACGACATTAATACGAGCCGGGCCAAAGCATTACACTTGCCATCAATCACCACCCAACTGTTCAACATCCACTGCACGTTCCAGGAACCTTCCTTCCCCACCTCAAGCGCATGAATATATTAGCTTTCAAAAACTTTGGAACAAGAAGACTGGGGAAATAAATGCAAGAATAAAACTGAGCCGAGAGAAAGAACCTAACCGACATTTCAATAATAAATCACTGGACGATTAAACTTTGACGAAATATACAAGAATATATTTCCAAAAAGCTTGATCACTATCAGCTGTTGTGTTGTCACAACGGTGACACGTCTTCCCGGATGTGATTCATGTAGCCTTACAGAAGTTAAACTATGTTTCCGAGGAACATACTGCCTCCATCTTCAGGGTAGAAAGCTAAGTCAAGTAAACAACAAACAAGAAGAAATCGGAAAGCAGAACCAGTGAGTAACGTGAACGCCTACCGAAATAAAGGGCGTCATACCCCAGAAAATGTTTCTCTTTTAGAGTGATTAAAACTGTACATCATAAAGGCCAACTGTTTTATGCTTCTTGGGGAGAGAGTTGCTGCTTGTTCCGAGAGTCCTTCCAAACTCTTTGTGCAAAATGCAGTGTTTCCGAAGTTACAGCAAGCAGAACGGCTACACGCGTTAACATCAACAGAGATTTTGTATTATCACATCTAAAATATTAAGAATATGTTCTACCTGTATATTACAGTTACACTTTCATGATTAACCTACGAGTTTGAAATTAATATAATGCTTAAAAATGCAGTTCCCGGCTCTCAGAAAACTTAATGTTTCTCTTTTACAAAGATCGACTTTTTAATGCGGTTTAGGGAAATATTCGCTGTTCACTATGAGAACAATGCGAAACACATAAATTTACACTCTGTTAAGTATGAAGAGTTTAATTTGTTAAAGCAGGTGTATATATTGTAACAGCTGGACCGTAAAGGGCGGTAAAGGGTTAATGTGCGTGCTCCTGTGTGTGTATGTGGTCCTATATAAAAATTCAGTCCGTACCTGACAGGAAATCCATTACGTCTCCGCTACAAAGCCCAACCGGTTAATGCTGTTTAGGGAAACAGTCGCTGTTCATTGCGAAAACCATAAGGAACACATAAGCACGCTCTGTGGAAAAGATGCTGTATTATTTTAATGCTAAGTACTTATAATTTTGCCTTAAAGAATTAATGTTTTGAAAAGTAAAATGAGTCTTCTGGTAATTCTGATGTTACACGTTCAACACAATGACCCTCTTCATCCATTCCAATTTTTCAAAGTACGTTGTACCTGAAATGAAAGAGAAGTAGGGGGCGGTGTATTCCCAGCAGAGTGGCTACCAGGATGCAGACGTGCAAGACATGGTAATACAAATTCCACAAAGCTCCGCAGACGCACAGAGCTGCAATAAAAGATTCATGTTGCCGCAAAAGTAAGAATTCAACCACATACAGAAATAATCCGCGGTTTATAAAGCTCGTAAGTAAAAACACAAATAATATAAATAATTGAGCTCTAATTTCTGTGAGGTAAGTTAAAAGCCTCGCATGTTGAATATTTTTTGTTCAGAAGTTTGCGACCAGTAAGCAACTAGTCAGTAGTGAATGCCTAAGGCTTATTTGTCATGAATCTTGATATAAAAGCGTCAACTTCAATATAACGTATTAAAGCCCTCTCCATTTCTGAACAGTAAACGATCTTTTGAGTTCTAATACTGTGTGGTCCGCAGACAGCTCGGCCTTTCAGAGGAAAGTATCGCCTCCATCTTCAGGGTTGAGGAGCTAGCAAGGCAAGAATTAAGCGGTAGCATTCTGTCTGCTTCTTGAGGGTTACTTGTTTGGTTTATTCAACTCTGAAACATGTGCAAGTATACCAAGTTACACGGCGTCATATCCGGGAGGACAGTTCTCTTTTTCTATAACTCACTGAAAGTTTAATTATGTGAAACTCACTTATATTTCGTCACCTGAGTGTTCGAGTGTACTATGTCCAGGAACGTCAATTTTCGGTACACCGAGTTTGAAGTTGAAGCATCAACTGTCGTTTAAATGTGACTTAGAACAAAACACTTGCAAGCACGGTAAACGTGCGGAGGTAGTGCAAAACAATATGGCGGTGCACAAATGTGCTTATCTCATCTTCACCCGAAAGGTGAGATAGAAAACATCAATACTGTGTCTAAGAAGTGTTACTGCTGTTTTAAAATAAATAAAACTGCATAATGAGGAGCTTCATAACTTGTACTTTTTTCCAAGTATAATTACAATGATCAAGTCAAGGAGGATGAGGTGGGCAGGGCATGTAGCACGAATGGGGATAAGAGGAATGCATATAGGATATCAGTGGGAAAGCCAGAAGGAAAGAATCACTTGGAAGACCAAGGCGTAGATGGGTGGTCAATATTAAAATGTAGATAGATAGATAGATAGATAGATAGATAGATAGATAGATAGATAGATAGATAGATAGATAGATAGATAGATAGATAGATAGATAGATAGATAGATAGATAGATAGATAGATAGATAGATAGATAGATAGATAGATAGATAGATAGATAGATAGATAGATAGATAGATAGATAGATAGATAGATAGATAGATAGATAGATAGATAGAGCTGGTATGGATTTGACTGAACTGGCTCAGGATAGGGACCAGTGGAGGGCTCTTGTGAATACGTTAATGAACCTTCGGGTTCCATAAAATGCTGGGAAATTGAGTAGCTGCAGAATTGGTGGCTCCTCAAAAGGGCTCAACTCCATAAGTAAGTAAGTTTTAAAGTAATTCTCTTGTTAATGAAATTTTCTCAAGCTGTCAGCTGGATCAGTTGATTGAAAGTTACCGACTTTGTAAGGACCATCTCTGTCTCACAACGTATGTACTGAGGATATATACCGAAACGTCTATATTTTTAGCCAGCTAACATAGTTAATACCCCGAGAAGATTTTACCACCTTCAGGTACAGTGAAAAGTTCAGACTTCGATTCCAGCTGTTGGTATTCGACAAGTGAAACAAACACCTTACTCTGAGTTTTGTCTGAGAATCCAGAAGTCTTCCTTACATTCAGGAAATAGGTCAAAGTTTTCCTCCAAGGAAATTTCATTTTCACCCTCAATCAGCCTTAAAGGTGTAATTGAATTGTGAGGAGAGCTGCGTAATTTGTTGTCGAAGATGCGACTGAGAACTCATTAGCAACAGCAGCCACTAGTCTGTCCACCTCTTCCACTTGTTTCAGCTCCCCACAGAGAAACCTTCTTAACTCACAACGATCTTTCGCCAGACGCCGGATAATTCTGTTGGCACGGAAACTAATCCACGAGTTGGCTGACCGAGGAATGGGAGTTCTATTTCTGAGAAGGGACAAAAACTCTCCTCCAGGGCAACCAAACAATTTCTGGGGCCCACTCTGATTCTTATCCTGTGGTTATCAGGGCATCCTCCTCGGGGATAAAGCGACCGGAACGTGAAACTGATCACTCTCCTCTATCTAACTCCGAAGTGTAGTGTTTATCTTCACCCCCCAATACGTCTTCATAGCCTGGTTCTGAATTAAGCATAGATTAAATTTAGCTTACATCTATCTGTCAGATAGATTCTATGGCGTAACGTTAAACAGGCAAAAACTGTCTCCTTCCCAACCTACGAGTATATTCACCACACATTAACCTTCCGCCCACATTGGGCGCTACCTAACCTCTGCAGTTGAAACAGCGTCGTCATAACTCATGCGTGTTTCCACAGTTTTCCTCGCTTAGCCCACAAATATTGTGTAGCAACATGTAAAGTTCTGTCTGTGCTTAATTAGTCACAGTAACATGAAAGTTTATGGGAGGAGTGGAGGTATAGCTCCAAGCATTCTTCACCTCGGCACTGGATGGAGGTAAGTGGTCAGCTTCACGTCCCTGTCGCGCAACACCCGCTACGGGTGAGGCAGGATGCTGGGTGTGCCTCAGAGCCGGTCTGAGAGTCGTGCTTCAGCCGGATATCGAACTTCAGTCCTTTTTTCATACAAGTCTAGCTTAGTTACTGTAACGGCTGCGCCATTTTGAACGCTAGGATATTGCTTACAAGGTTTCACTACCGCGTCCTTTCGTAACTGTTACAGTCCTTGGATTGTAACTCTGTGTAGTTCAGAGACACTCCGCCGTTTCGGAGTAACACACCGCCTTCATCTTCAGGGTCGAGTATTCAGCGGATTAAAAAATAAGAGGTGTCAAGCTAAGAATGCTGCTGTTGGTTTCTCGCTTACTCTTATTCTGAGGCCCTGAAGATGGAGGCGATATTATCCCCCGAAACATCAGTAGACTTCTACCAGACTTCACGGCTTTTCAATCCAGAAGGTCGTACTTTACTGCCATCAGAACTTCTAATCCAATTTTTTTTATCAACGTCAATTTATAATACGGTGTTTATAACACACTAAGTTGAAAGAGCGCTGTTAAATTGCCGAACAATTAATCGAATTAGGACCCAAACATCTGAATGTACCCAATATAGCAGAACATTGTGACGCGGGACCGTCCGGGGGGCGATGTGTAAACACGTCACCATTGTAATGGTAACTGCTCTGGTCGCCATGGTAACAAGCTATAATCATTAATGCTATTGTTTGTCTGCTATATTGTATCCCTAGACTAAAGCATTTTATTGTCATTATCACTTGATGACACCCTGGGGGGGAGGGGGGAGAAGTCCAGAGTCACAGGCACAATTGTAATTACCGCAACGTCAAATAACTTTTTAAATGGCGCTGAAAGGGGGGAAGGTGTGAAGTTCCTCCATTCATGCAAAACAAACCCAACGGGAACTTCCTAACTGCTGTTGCATTTAAGGCGCTCGTACCTTCTGCGTTGTACTGGCATGTAGTTCGGATAGAGCCCGACGTTTATGGAGGAACATATCATCTTCATTTTCGGGCTTGAATATTAAGCCAAACAAGAAATCCTTCGGCACTGAAACTGGAGGCGATACGTTCCTCACACACGTCTGGCTGTCTCCGAAGAACATTGCATTACAAACCAAAAGAAAATATTTTTCATGACTAGCTGTTAGTACTACCAACTGCGAGGAGGCAAATGGTGTAATTAGTATTGTAGGGTGTAGAGCTGTTGCTATGCAGAGACCGCGAGATGGACGGATATACCAGGGCCGATTCTGGGCAACGTTTCGGTAAACACTTTCCCGTACCAACAGACAAGAACGCAACAATAGAAGAGTTGTGTTTTCTGTGTGATCCGTTCCGAGATGTCATAAGCAAAGGAGAATGTTAGATTAGTCAGTAACCCTAGTGGAAGCGGGGTCGAATACCTCCACTGTGACCCTGCGAGTGGTAGGAGGCGACGAAAATGGAAGCCTCAAATCTGGGACAGTAAAATATGGTCGCGAGTCCCAAGGGACTCAGACCCGAGAAAGACTGCGCTAACAGCATATAAAAAAGACAGACCCGTCCTCTCGTCAGAGAGGGCGCCCCACAGAAACAAGACCGTAACTGTCAAACGGTAATAATTAATATCTGGTCATGAGCCCCAGATGGGGCTCGACACCAAGACTTAATAACTCACTGACCGTCAGTCGCAATGTGACTTTGACTTTGAGATTAGTCAGTTTTGTACGGGAATCTACGAAGGGGGGACTTGAGCCGGAGGCAGAGGAATAGCCATTGTTGGAGCCGTTACTAGGAAACGTCTAGTAAGAGACCGAGAACACTAGATTATGTGCTCTAGTGAAATGCAAAGTGTGGAAATAGAAATAATGTTATAGTTATTTGTAGTTACGACGTGTAAGTGATCAATAAATCTATTCACTGATATAAACCCCGTCTATAGTGACACCCTTAATCGTGGCAGTATAACATACCGAGCGGGTTAGGGTAGCGGTACTGCTCTTGACAGGCATTCTAAAGGTTCTCGTTACAGCCTTAGTCACGAGATCACATACTGTCAGGTTTAAATTCATCTGGCTTAGTCCCTCCAGGTAAATGCAGGGGAAATACCTCATTTAGAACATTATCGCTTCCTTCCAGATCCTTTACAGTGTATCAATCATCCTACCATTTTACCCTACATAACCTCATACGCAAAAGCGTCGTCTCCACTAACGGAGATACGGATTATAGGGTGCACGGTTTCAGTTACAGTGCGTCACCCTTCCTCCCTCCTGCAGTGTATAGCTTGCTGTTTCCGGACATAGTTCTCCTCACGCACAGCCCAGAATCCGGGTCTAAAACACTTCCTGCACATGATTTTTTTGTCTTTAAAATCAGTAAATGCATTGCGACGTGAATGGCCCATCACGTGACAGTATTATCTGAAATACGTGCAGCTGCTCATCTCTCTTCTGTCTCAGCTGATGAGCAATTGTCTGTATCTCTCAAACATTTCAATTGCAAATGGAGTTCGTGACGTAATGATATGTCGATGCGTTAATCAATAAGATACGATTTGAAGAGGCCTTCATAATGTCGTGGATTCCTCAAATGGTACATCCATAGGAATAACAAAGGCCTTGTACCGTAATGAAAAGAGAAACAGACGCTTCTTGTATTATTGAGTTCCAAGGCAAAGCAGTTCCTTCGTGGAAACCCTGGCCTCTGTGTATATCTCTTCTTTTGCTCCTTGATCGATTGTTTATATATTTAACTACGCTTATCCAAATATGTTGGTTACATAACATCAAATCACATTTAATTAATTTGTAAACAGTTGTGTCTCTTACCTAGAAAACCGAAATTAACGGCCGTGGGAATTCATTGCGCTGACAACGCGACACCCTCTAACCTCTAAAATTGGCACTATTTTTTTTTGCTAGTGGGGTGGGACTAAGTCCCTTGTACTGCGGCCACTTCTGGCCTATTGTACCCAACCCCAGATGACAGATGAGGGTGATTGTGGAGCAATTAGTGGAATGAAGATTGGCAGGGGAAACCGAAGTACTCGGAAAAAACCTGCCCCAGCGCCACTTTGTTCACCACAAATCCCACTTGACCAGACCCGGGATCGAACCCGGGCCGCCGCGGTGGGAAGCCAGCGACTAACCGCTTGAGCTATGGCGCGGCCAATGTTGGTAATAACTTCGCCGAAAAGCGCCGGTCGCTCGGTAGGTATAGTTCGCTTGCAGACTCAAGCCAAGGTGTTGGTTGGTAAAGAGTCGTGTCTTCTGCCGATCACAGCTGCCGCGCGGTCTACTGCTTGAAAAGTCTTCGCCTGCTCGAATACTGGGATCGTGGGTTCGAATCCACTAAATGCATGGATATCTGTGTGTGTGTCTTGCTCTGCGTGTAGGTAGTGGCCTCGCGACCGGCTGATCCCCTGTCCAAGGAGTACTACATACTGTGTATAGGTTAAGAAACTGAAAAAGCGGCCGAAGTCCACAAGCGCTGTAGAACACAGGTAAATAGATAGTGTCTTCTGCGATATAACCCCGTGTAGTCTGGTAGAAGTTTACCGACGTTTCGGAAGAACACACAGGCTCTATCTTCAGTAAGGAAGCGTAAGGCAAGGAGTCAACCAATAAGAAGCAAGGATCAAGCAGAGTTACAATATTTACATTTTAATAGTACATATATTTATCAATAATTAAATTTATTATTCTTGACATTTCAGGTGTGAAACAGCGGACCATCAGTGGGGCACATATCACTAGTTAAGAAGCAATTCTCTATATGAAACCGGTCTCTGTAACAATGATACAGACTAACTCCATGTAGCTCAGTTGCACATCTACTCAAGAATTCCCCAACATTTCATGGAACCCGAAGGTTCATTACCTTAGTAATAAAAGTCCTCTACTGGCTCCTCTCCCGAGACATATCCACTCCATGTCACCTCATCTTCTCTCTCTAAGATCTATTTTAATATTATCCTCCCACTTAAGTCTATGTCTTCCTAGTGGTCTCTTTCCCTCTTGGTTCCTCAACAAAATACTATATGCATTCATATTCTCACTCATGCATGCTACATGCTCTGCCCATCTCATTCTCCTTGAATTCATCGTTCTAGTTATATTTGGCGAAGAGTAAAAGTCATGAAGTTCCCCACTATGTAGTTTTCTCCAACCTAATGTCACCTCACCCCTCTTCCTCAACATCCTGTTCTCAAACACCCTCATTCTATGTTCCTCCCTTAATGTCAGAAACCAAGTTTCATGCCCATACAAAACCACAAGCAAAATTATAGTTATGTATATTCTGATTCTTACGTTTGTAGGCAGCGTAACAACGGTACAGTGGAACATAATTTGTAGATCCCTTATATGGGAATGTAGCTTAAATAAAAATAATTATTTCTTTACTATATAATCAGCGAAATGAACAGTCAGAGATGAAGCTTCAAACTTAACGATCGAGGTTGTGATAAGGTGCTGCCTGTCAGGACTACCGCATATCTCAGAGGGGCTGTTGAAAAGAGTGTGAAAACTAAGGGAAAAATCTGCACCAGTGTTACTTCGTTTACCACGGATCTCGCATGATGTCATCCCGGATTGAACCCGAGGCTCCGTGGCGAGAAACCACGGTTTTACAGCTGTAGCACGAATACTCTTCAAGAGCGATAAGCCTGCCTAACAAGTATAGCGTGCCATGAAATTGTTTCGTTGTTCAAATGGTTTTCTACACGAAATTTCGTCATCAGTAAACTAGTCACAAAACTTTCTGTATCTTACGAAATACAATAATGACTGTGATACATAATGTAGTTATCGGACCCGTATTTCAAATGTCTAAAATGTAGTTTTCAAGGCCACCTGATCACCGTTGTGCGTGTTCAAATTTATTAGGTTATAACTTCTTAGAAGTAGTTTAATTACAACGCCTAATAACTTCTTAAGGTTATGCGTTACAGCCACAACTTGAACTAGACTTCCCAGTGAAAGCTCTTCCAGAGCTACGTCACAAACCGGACAGGTTCATGTAGCGGTAACAAACTGGGTTTGCATTCGGGAGGTTCTGCTTTCGAATTTCGGGCAGAACCCCAGCTATCTTGGGGCACGCGGTAGCGTAGTTAGTTGAGACACTATGCTACGAGCCGGAAGATCTAGGGTTCGATTCCAGATGATATCATTGGATTTTTCTATTAATCTAATCCTTCCAGCCACGCTATGGTCCTGGGGTCGACTCAGCCTCTAACAGAGACAAGTACCAGGAGTCTTCGTGGGGGTAAAGGGCGGCCGGCGCGTAAGACTGACAACCTTACCACCATCAAAACACAAATACAATTATTTAACGTAAAAGTAGGTGGTCAATAAAATAACAAGTGTTTTGAAACACACAAACATTCATCTTAAGGATTAGTTTGTCAGGTTGTGAATAATCTCTTAGGCGCTGAAGAGAATAAATTAGTAATTGCAAATATAAGGAGTTTTCTAGAAACTGCAGTCGTAACACGAACCTAAGTCTTTGCGGGTCGGACCGACTTGAAGGAAGATCGTCTGATTCTTTCGCACGAATGCTCACGCACGCACATAAAAAATATCTCACTGCATTTCAATTTTTTTTAAACAAATCATTAAACGTAAGAGAAATTAATCTCCCTTCATTTATCGCACTTTACAGCGTAAAGGCAAAGCAATATTCACGCTATATGCACTGAAATCTACACGTATGCACGGAATCTTAATTAACAGAAGTAAATGAGAAACAGCTTTCTGGAAAATCTGCATAGGAAATGACTCATATAATTTTCTACGCGACAATCATTAAATATTTTACAGTCGATGAAATATGAGTTGGAACAAAGTTCCTTCATGCATGTTCGTTCTTAAGCGCGTTCACAATTCGGTGAACCATATGCTGAAATCGCTCCGTCTGTCTGTCCGTCTCTAAGCGTAAAAAAAAATTCGAAAACCACTAATTGTACTTCCATTGGCACCGTGTAGATGTGGTGTTAACCGATGTTTCGGAGGAACGTATCGCCTCCATCTTCAGGGTAGAAGGAAAAATAAGAAATCCGCAAGCGAAGAGACCGTGAGAACCGGTACGAGCAGACTGCAGTGACGGTTTAAGATTGGATATTTTTGTGTGTTATTCATGAGAGATGGACTCGACTGGAAAGGAATGCGGTGCAAGAAGCGAGAGTTAATTGTGAGAAAGCTAATGTCACAAATTAGGAGAATTTCCTTTGGAATTTCAACTGTTATAATACTAGTTTCTTCTTTATATCAAAGTAAGTGGACTAGAAGTAGTTTATAACATAAAATATCGAAAATTAATTTTCCCCATTTTCTTCAGGCTACCCTAATGCATAAGATATACCACACAGCTTTATCTTCTTACCTTACATTGCAGGCTAATTGTTATATGAGGCTTCTGCTGACCGCTCACCGTGACTGAATGAATGGCAACATTGTCTGTCATGGACGTAGCATCGAGATACCAGAACCGTACAAAGAAGAGCAACCTCTGTAAGGAGTAAACACAAATTGCAGTCTACTGGATTGAAGAGAATGTTCGAGAGCAAAGTGGCAAGCAAAATATACGGATCAGCGATGGAAAATTATATATAGAGGATAAGATACAGCGAAGAGATAAACACATCACTGAAAGGAGAAGATACAGTAAGATTCATCAAGTCACAGAGAATAAGATGGTTGGGACATGTAGAAAGAATGGAAGATAATGCAGTGCCAAAGAGAATGTTAAAAGGAAGGCTATATTCCAAAGAACAAAAGGAGGACCCAGGATGAATGGCCAGACGATGTTGAGAACGGTCTGAAGAAGATGAAGGTGAAAGGGCGGATAGAGAAGATGAGTGGAGACTGGTTGTAGAGGAGGCCAAGGCTCACCCAGGGCTGTGGCCCCGAGTGCTAAGTAGGTAGGTAGTCTGTTGGATTATGAAACCGTCTAGTCTGGTACAAACGCTTCGAAAGGACATGTCTCTAGCTCCATGATAGAATTATCCTGAAGGTCTACGAATATGTGAGTCTTCTTGATCATGACCTTCTGACATTTAAAGTAAACAAGGATGTGGACAACTGTGAAGAGTCAGGGAGGTAACTGGCAAAGATGAAACTCTGCCTCAACGTAATTTACTTGTCTAACTAATGGCTAACTACTGAAACTCAGTGGTGCACGGTTTCTTCTTTAAAATCTTTTAGCTGTTTAGCGAGCCAAGAAATTCCCAAATGTTATAAATCCCTGAATTCATATTCTTCCACTACTGGATGCTACTCAGATTAATTACAATCTGTGGTGATTACAGCATTATCAATGATTTTGATAAAGAGATATGAACTAAAGAGAGTTATCCCTGTAACAGACCGTGGAGGCCCATAGGGTTGTGAGACGTTGAGGATCCCACATTTTCTAGACAATCGGCTCACAGATGGCGGTGAGGTTGTCAGCCTTACGCGCCGGCCGCCCTTTACCCCCATGAAGATTCCTTGTACTCATTTCTGTTAGAGACTGAGTCGCTCCCAGGGCCAGCGCGGCTGGAAGGATTAGGTGAATTGACAAAAAAAATCTAGCAAAGTCGATTAAAGTGGAAATGCTCTAGGTTTTTATTCGGGAGGTACTGGGTGCGAACCTCGGCTGTGGCACCGGCTATCCCAGCTGAAGTGGATCGTAAATTCTTTTAGTCCCTCCAGGCAAATACTGGGAGAGTACCCTGAATAAGACGTGGCCACTTCCTTCTGAATCCTTCCCAATTAATTCACTGCTATTCTATCAACTGACGCTATATAGTTTGAGTCAGTGACAGCGTCGTTAAATAAGCATCAAATAAAATTCAAACAATAATAATTTTGAATTTTAATATGAGTAGGGAGTGATGAATTAGAATGAATGCGGAAAGAAAGAGGTTTGACCTGCTTTGAGATGATATCCCAGGACATATATGCAGGGACTGAGGGAAGCCACGAATATAATTTTTATCTCAACCGAGATTCAAACCGGTCACCTCCCGGGAACACGCCAAAAGCGTTAGTGCCCGAGAAAACTTGTTTCGTGGAGCTCGCTTGTGTTTCCAACAGCAGCAGTGCACTCAGAGATGCGAGTCATTTAGATATTCACTCGGAATCGGCTAACCTGACAGCAAATCCTCTTATGTTCTGTCTGAAACATCTTTGTGGCTACGTCATAGCTTGAGTAGGCAGCCGTAGGTCAGAGAAGTCCTGTTTCCAACGAGAGCATTGTTATGGTGATTTCGTTCCCAATCGTATGTCGAAAAAGTTAATTAGCAACTTTCTAATGGTAATGTAAGGATCTACGTCACTCTCTTCTGATGACGAAACCTCAAAGATTTTCTAGACACAGCATAGTAACCGTCCAACTGGCAGCGCCATAGCTCAAGCGCTTAGTCGTTGGCTTCCCAATGCGGCGGCCCGGGTTCAAACCCTGGTCTGGTCAAGTGGGATTTGTGGTGGACAAAGTGGCGCTGGGGAGGGTTTTCTTCGGTTTCCCCTGCCAATCTTCATTCCACCAAATTCTCCATCATCATAATCACCCGGGTCAGGTACAATAGGCCAATCAGTGGCCGCCGTGCCGAGTGGACCCAACTGGACTCCAACCCCCCACTATGCGAATTAAAAAAAAAGTCCAGCTACAGTTCCTAAGTAGATTCTGAAGGGTTCTGATGATGGTAGATGACACACAGAATTACCGGGTTTTTGGACGTTTTCCATCGTCCGGAATTCTAGGTAATAGAGGACACAACGTTTTGGAAACTGGATCTGTTTCCGTCTTCAGGTGGACAGGAGTTGTCCAGTGATTGAGATTAGCTCTTTCTAAGGGGCCCAATTAAGTATGTGTCTTCCTTCCTCACCTGAAGACGGAAACAGACCCAGTTTCCGAAACGTCGTGTCCTCTATTACCTAGAATTCCGGACGGTGGAAAAAGTAACAAAAAAGACAGTAATTCTGTGCACAGTTCCTAAGCTTATTAGATGAACATTTCTCACAGCTACCTAGAACGCCAAAGTGTGTTTATATGGCTTGGAAGGTGTATTGAGTTTCAGCCTGAACAAGGCCGAAATTGCCTTCTCGCGTCGTGACATATATTGACTGAAGTATCGAAGATGATAATACAGCTGGCCGCGGCGTCACGTAGTTCATATTGTGGCCGTCTGGCGCTGCATTACACGCAGAAATGCGTGTACAAATAAAATGCGAAAAGTTCACATATATAACGGATGTCCAATGAGTTCCACTCGATTAATAATAATGGAGCTGTTAATGTGCTGAAATGGGGAGACATTAAGACATATATTATTCTTCAAATATAACGGATTGGAACTTCTAGAAGGCGGCAAATATGTCCCTATGCTTAATTAATTAAGAACCACGCCGTGAAGACATATGGGGGAGCGCAAGTATAGCTCCACCATTTCCTTAAACCGGCACTAGACGGATTAGACATTCTGGCCTGCTTTAGTTCAGAATTACTTCCAAAAAAGATAATCATAAACGTTTGACTGTATACCTTACTTGAACAGGAAATAGCCCTTCTTAAGACTGTACAAAACACGCAGATCTCTTGAAAGACGGCAAATTTGAAGAGCGAGAGAAATAGGATAATATTAAAATTGAAGACGACTGTCTTCTAGATGACCGCCTATGTGGTCTAGTGGTAAGAGTTCCTGGCTACAGATCCAGAGGGCCCGGGTTCGATTCCCGGAGCTACCAGATTTTCTGTGAAGTAGTGGGTCTGGAACAGGGTCCACTCAGCCTCGTGAGGATAATTGAGAAGCTATTTCAAGGAAATAGTGGCTCCGGTCTAGAAAACCGAGATTAACGGCCGTGGTGATCCGTTGCGCTAACCATGCAGCACCCTCTATCCGCTGAAGTTGGCACTAACTTCGCCGACAAGCGGCAGTCGCTCGGTCGGTACAGTTCGCTTGCGGAATAAAATCACGGAGTTTGTTTTTTGTTTGTCTGTCTTCTAGATTACAATGTCGTGTAGTTCGGAGGGAGCTTGACGGGGGCTGAGATTGCCACCTGCTTCTTCTGGTTTCTTACGTGGCTTGCAATTTGACCCTGAATAGGGAGGCGATATGCTACTTCGAAAGGTCGGACTCTTTCGGAATGTTACAACCCAAAAGACAGTATACTTCAGAATCACTCCCGTGTAAACATCAAATCCAATGAAATTAAAATTTATCTAGAGAATATCCCGGCATTTGCTTGGAAGAACTGAGGATAACCACGAAAAACTTCTGTCAGACAGCGATGTCCTGGCCAAGATTTGAGCCAAGCATCTCCAAAATTAGAATATTACCGCTACACTAACCTGTTTGGCTGCATATATATATATATATATAAGACAAAGTGAGTGTATTATTTTCAGCTCTTGCATCCTCCAGGCTTTATCCTCTCTAAGAGTATCTCCGCTTTGCTTCCTGCCTTCGTCAGCACCTCCACCCTCTGGGGGCCAGAGCTCTTTCTGAAACACTGCTGAAACGAGATGTTTCATGGTTTTTCATTTGGCCTCCACGTTCCAGTAAAGGCCATTAATAACACCCGTTTCTTTCTATGTCACGTGGGTCCCTTGCCTGCGCGACTTGGGGGGTTTTCTGGCTTGCGGATGGAGGATCCAACACTGGGGGAGTAGGGCAGATGAACAAGTTGAATGGACACTCGGGGGCAGCCGAAGAAGAATGATCCTTTGGCATGAGGGTTTGAACTAACTACTCGAAAGTACATATTTGCACTTACAGAGTCTTCACGTCAAGTTGGGGTTTAGAAATACTACGAAAGGAAGTTTTTCTTTTTACATTAAATACGTGCATATTTAGCATTGATCTGAGGAAAGAGATTTTCCGAGAAATTCCTTCCTGAATGGAATGTACATATTATCCTAAGTCCTTGGACGTGAGCCCTTACTGATAAGCCGCCAGTCTCTCAAGTACTCAAGAATTTCCCAACATTTTATGGAACCTGAAAGTCCATTACCGTGTTCATAAGAGCCCTTCACTGGTCCTTATCTTGAGCCAGATCAATGCAGCCCACACCACCCCATTCTATCTCTCCAAAATCAATTTTAATATCATATTTCCTCCTACGTCTATGTCTTCCAAGTGGCCGCCTCTTTCTTTCTGGCTTTCCCACCACAATCCCATATTACTGAATACCATGAACAGTGTGTAATTATGTAAGATTTGATGTTTTGGTTGTGGTGATTATTACGGCTGTAATCTTTTGGATTGGCATATTTGAGATCTTAAGCACTTCAACTCTGAAGATGGAGGCAGCATCTTCTTCCGAAAAATCAGCATGAAAAGAAGTAAAAAAGTAAAACTATTCCTGTAACAGGCCGCGGAGGCCCATAGGGTTGTGAGACGTTGAGGGTCCCACATTATCTAGACAATCGGCTCACAGATGGCCGTAAGGCTGTCAGCCTTAAGTACCGGCCGCCCTTTAACCCCAGGAAGATTCCTGGTAGTCATTTCTGTTATGGGCTGAGTGAATCCCAGGACCATATTGAAAAAAATCCAATGACCTCATCGGGAATCGAACCCGCGACCTTCCGGCTTGTAGCATAGTGCCTAAACCAACTACGCTACTGAGTGCCATCCGCCCACAAAAACTACATGGTTTCACAACCCATAATCTTCAAGAGTATTTTTGAGAGACAGTGTTTCCAAAGATAACTGATACACGTAAATCAGTGTTTAGTTGCTACTGGAACTTTTGTTATAGGTCTATGCTTCACTGTTGCACGATAACTACTGACGTTACCGTCTGTCAATTTACATTGCATTATGGCCACGAAAAAACTGGAAGCGATATTCTTGTTGTTGGTAATAGCGACAAAGAGAATTTATCTCATACTAAATAAACCTTTAGGTCAACCCAAATACATTTAAAATTAAAATCGCACTTGTTTTGTACCACGTTGTGGCCTAATAAAAAAAATCTAAAGTAGTTTTCATAACTGAGTGCCATAGCTAGAACGCATGGGGTCACTGGAATATTAAAAATTCCGAAAAAAAAACGGCACGAAATGATACATTCGATAGTTATACTCTGCAATCGAATATGTATATGGATTCGAGAGTGCCGATCACTTGTTACCAACTGTCTAAATCACACAATTCATTGCCAACACAACACTAGAACTCTATCTACCAGGTGGCAGCACAAATCACGTGTGGTAATATGCTACACGCGAATAAGCGGGAGGTCACAACCCCCACTTCGGGCGGGCCAGAAGGGGCGGTGAAGGAGAACAGAAGGGGCTCTTACCCCCCTCCCCCGGGATTCGAGAGAAGAAATAAAAAAAATGAAAACAGAAGGAAATATTTCATATATTAGTACCGAAAATTAATAGTATTCGTGTTCATAAACACATTTTTCTATCTAGGATAATGTAGGGGTATCAGTAAAAGAGTTTTAAATGACTAAGACGTAAGTTGGTAAATGAAGTTTCTGGTTGGCATCCCAGTTGCGAAACTTGAAAAATTATGACACATCTTTGCATAATTCAGGGCTGTTATTTCGACTAGAAGATACAGTAATGGACTAGATTGTCTACCTTCAGTTGTCATTTTTGTGCACCCCATTAAACTGTTTCACATATTTTGCTGACAGTCTGTAAGACAGATTTTTCATTTAAATTTCTAGAGAATTAAGATTTTCAGCGGTATTGATCCATAACAAAGTATTTTTTTTATATAAAGCCGTACATACATTTTCCCATATATTAAAGTAAAGCTATTCCTGTAACAGGCCGTGAAGGCCCATAGGGTTGTGAGACGTTCAGGGTCCCACATTATCTAGACAATCGGCTCAAAAATGGCGGAAAGGTTATCAGCCTTACGCACCGGCAGCCCTTTACTCCCTAGGAAAATTATTTAATTAATTCCTGGTACTCATTTCCGTTAAGAGGCTGAGTCGACCCCAGGGATTAAGTCGATTGAAAAAAATCCAATGACCTTATCGGGACTTGAACCCGCGACCTTCCGGCTTGTAGCATAGCCCCTCAACCAACTACGCTACCCCGTTCCCATATATACTCGTATACATGAAAAACCATTAGTCAAAATTTGGTAAATTTGATACGACAGACCTTTGCATAACCTTAGATTCTCATTCCTAGGAACCCGAATAAAAATCTTCACACAAAGCCGAAACGTACTTTTCATTCTAACCCATAAAACACTGTGATTTTGTGGACCAAGATCTGTGTAATATAATGAAACAAATTGATGAACTAAATTAAATCATAAACCATTCAACACATTCCATTGTTAGGTTATATTTCGTATTATTATATTGTTATAATATGAATTCCGGTCTTTATATAAATTAAAATTTGAGCCTTTTTCTTAAATTTTTAAACCAACAACACGTCAGTTTAATAAACTGCAAAAACTGAGTTTGGAAACTTGCATATTACATTATGAAGACAGGATAGCTCAGTCGATATGGAGACGTGTGACGAGTTGAAGGGCCGTGGTTCAATTCCCGGCAGGAACACGAGACTTGTCTCTAATTAGCAGCTTGCAGACTAACCCTGGAGCCCACCCAGCCTACTATACAACGGTTACAACGGGCTCTTATCCACAGAATAAAGCGGCCGGAGATTCAAGCTGGCCAGTCACCTACATCTAGTACCGAGGTCAAGAATGGTGGAGCTATACCTCCACTCCCTCATACGTCTGCATGGCGTGGTATTAATTAAGTACAGGGACAACTTTACCTTCACCTTCCACTATGGGGTACAATTTTTACAATCTTATTCAGTAAACCGTACGAAACAAATAAGTACACCCCATGGAGCGCTGAAGCAGGTGATGGGGTTGCAACCCTGTAGTTAGTTAACACGCTCAACTGATAACTAAATGTTGTGGCATTATTCTAGTAAAATAATAGATACCGAAGTGAACGGAGAAGTTCATGGAGGTAGGCCTAGGCCCACTGGGGCTGTAGTGCCAAGGGGAAAAAAATAGATGCAATCAAAAGGATGTGTGTTCCTTACCGCAGTTAGCGCCTAATTACAGCGTCAGAAATAACTTAATAAATATATAAATGTAACTATTTTGGAAAACAAACGGAATCATGGCAATTTTTGAACAGAATAATAACAAATATTTCCAAAATGTTTCTTAGAGACGGTGTAGTATGGAGCGGATTGATCTGGCTCAGGATAGGGACCAGTGTAGGGCTCTTGTGAACGCAATAATGAACCTTCGGTTTTCACAAAAGTTTGGAAATTCTTGAGTAGTTACGCAACTAGACGCTTCTCAAAGAAGGGTTCTGTTCCATGGAACGAGTTAGTTTCCATATTGTAGTCTTGTATTGTATTGTACTGTCGAAATAGTGACTTAACGAATTGCCCCATTCAACAACGTGCCCGCGCCCCAGTTCCCAAGACTGCAGTGGCTTCGCTACAACAAGCAACAGAGGAGAACACGCGGACTCTCCTCTGCCCTGCGCTCAGCTACAGCGAGTTGCAACTCGTTCCGATGGGGCAGGATTTGAGGCATGGCGCAGACGCTTAAACATATATTACAGAATACAGAAAACCCTCGCTAATCCGGTTAGAGTTAATTCCGATCAAAATATGTGAAATTAAAAAAATTTTCTAGCCGGTCACGGTATCTGAGTGGTCCAAGGCATGCACTGTCTTCGCTCGCTCGGAAGCCGGGATCGTGGGTTCAAATTCCACTCAGGGCATGGATGTTTGTATTCGTTTTTCTGTGTTTGTGTACAGGTAGAGGCCTTGCGACGAGCTGATCCCCCGCCCAAGGAGTGCTACCGAATGTGTAAGATCTAGTAAAAATCGAACGGAGAGTTTCATGGAGGTAGGCCTAGGCACAAAATGAGGGCTGTAGCGCCAATGAAAAAAAATGCTCTTCACAGTTGAGCACATATTTTATAAGACACAAGATATTTAGGAAGGCAAATGAGTCACTTGTCTGTTCAGACAAAACTTGACAGTTCGTTCAAACCTGCTTTATTGCCAGCAAAAGCCGGCACAACTTCTCCTTCATTTATCGATTAATAAACGTGTTGAGTGTCTACAGATTTTGAATACAAGATTTATAGTGATATTTCGTTATTTATTCATCACCGCTACTTGTACTTATGTCAAGGAGCCGGAATAGTGTAGTCGGTATAGCGACTGGCTACGAGCTGGAAGACCGAGGGGTCGGAGTTCGAGTCCCGGTGCGGTCAAGAATGTTCTCTTGTTCACGTCGTCCAAACTCGCTCTGGGATCCTTCGAACCTCCTCTCCAATGGGTACCGGGGGCTCTTTCCTCGGGGGTAAAGCGGCAGGTGCGTGAAACTGACCAATCACCTCCAACTAGTATCGAGGTGACGAAAATGTGGATCTATTCAACCACTTCCCCATACACCTTCATGGTGTAGTGCTAAATTAGTTAAGTACAGAAACAACTTTAGGTTTTAATACTTATTTAATTAAGTTTTCCATTTATTTGTGTTCTAAGGTATTTGTCTTTAAGATCTGTCTTTTGCTTCACTAATCCGGATGACTCCCCCCCCCCCAATTACTCCGGATTAACGAGGGTTTACTGTACTTTTGTGACGTCAGTATTGCGAGAAATCTGTGCTTTTAATAAAGTTTTCAGAATAAGAAATTAAGTCGTGAAAGTTTGAAAGTGGTCCGTAAATTGCTAAGTAAACTACGTAATATAATGTTGGACTATGTCGATTATTCAATAATATTATGCATTATCACCTTCTTCTGCTTCTTATCATCCTCCTGCTACTCTTCCTCCTAGACCTCTTCTTCGCATACAAATAAATAACATTTCAGCTGCATCAAACGTCTTTTCCGAGCACTCAGTCACACACGTCACACAGTTCCGTAATGGTTGGTGACTGATGCACCGGTATGTTCAATATTACTGAAACGTGTAGCAGCCAGTACTGTGCAAACCGGATTGTGCAAAAATATCCTGAAAACTTCTACTGCGCAGTGCACTCGAGCCTGCATGCCTGCCTCAACGGCCAGCTGTGTTACCAACGGCTCTGCCAGTAGTTAGGTTAGTCTGCAGAGTCAAATGGCACCAGGATCTGTGAATGAGAAAACGAAAAGGACAGAAGGATGCCGTCGGGGCCTAATCTATGTATTATCCGGGCATTTGCCTTCAGGAACTGAAGAAGGCCACGAAAGACCCCAATCAGGATATACTCTAATTCTCCGCTGAAATTCGAACCGAGTACCTCCCAAACACAAATCTAAAGCTTTACCGTTATACGAACCTGTCAGTTGAGGATGGAGTGGTAATAGTAGTAGTGGTAGTGATAGTAGTGTCGGTAGTAGTAGTACAAGTAGTGGTGGTAGTAGTGGTAGTAACAATAACTGTAGTGGTAATAGTTTTTCTTCCTTCGGCGCTACAGCAAAAAAAATTGTGCCTTGGTCTACCTCCATAAAATTCTCCGCTTCATTTCGGTTTACTAGATCATAGACATTCGGTAGGACTCCTTGGGCGGGTGATCAGCTCGTTGCAAGGCCTCTACCTGTACACAAACCCACGAACCCACGATCCCGGCTTCCGAGCGAGCGAAGACAGTTCATGCCTTAGACCGCTCGGCTACCGTGACCGGCAGTGGTAGTAGTAGTAATAAAATTAGTTTTTGCAACGATGTTATAAGGACTTGTAATTGTATTGCTAGTGGGGTGGGACTAAGTCCCTTGCACTGCGGCCACTTCTGGCCTATTGTACCAGCCCCAGATGATAGGTGAGGGTGATTGTGGAACAACTGGTGGAATGAAGATTGGCAGGGGAAACCGAAGTACTTGGAGAAAACCTGCTCCAGCGCCACTTTGTCCACCACAAATCCCACTTGACCAGACTCGGGATCGAACCCGGGCCGCCGCGATAGGAAGCCAGCGACTAACCGCTTGAGTTATGGCGCGGCCCATGTTATAAGTAACTCTAACTGTACAATGTCGAATTATGAGTTGTACGGGATGTCGACGGAAGCTGATCTGACCTAAGTGAATGAGAAAAATCACGGAGAACCTCGATGAGGGTAGCCTGTGTCCAGGCTGAGATTCTACCGGAGTAAAAGTCAGAAGCTTTGCTGCTGGAGTCAGCTTGCCGAGTGGCTGACATGGGCGCTAGGCTGCAGTTCTAATGGGGCAGGTGTTAGGACGCTTCTCTTATGGACAACGAGCAGTACCTCGCCATAATGAACATCTTAATATTATTAATAATAGGCTACATACTTTATTTCAAGCACGTATTATTATTTAAGATTTGAGGCTTTCACGGCGGTGACTATGAAGAAAGCAGTCTTCTGGGATTTTGCAAAATCCCAGAAGACTGCTTTCTTCACGTATTATTATTATTATTATTATTATTAGTAGTAGTAGTAGTAGTAGTAGTAGTAGTAGTAGTAGTAGTA